ATATAAAGAGTTTATTTTTAACATAATAAATTCATTTTTAAATTCATTTTCCTGGCAATAAATTCCTCATTTATTATGTTAAATAAATGTAAACCATTTGATTAATCTAACTAATTGAATTATTCCATATCATCATAATTACCCTAATGCAAAGCAAAGCCAAGCCCCTGAACGTTAACCATTCGAATATCTTTCGCCAATTCTTTGGCTCTTTTCATTTTTTCATTTTATTCCTGGTTTTTTTTTTTAAAATTATAATGTTGCATGTGATTCTCTTTTGTTTGTATCTGGGACTCACTTCTCTTCTTGGGTTTTAAATAAAAAATTTATTATATTTCAAGTTGAAAGTGCAGAGACTAAAACTAGAAAATATATAATATAAATTATAAGGGGGTTGAAGTCGGATCATAGAAGAAATGGCCGCCATGAGCACTACGTGTCTACAAGTCCAGGGTATTGATTTAACACTAAAATAAAAATAAAATTTGATCTCATTAAAGATGGGCAAGGGATTGGGCACAAATAGTGAGTTTTTACAATAATATAATTTTGATTACGTGGACTAACTAAACTTTATTAAATTAATCAAACTATTAAAATTGCTCTAAATACGTATAAATGCGTAAATATAAAATGTAGAGGATCAAAATCCTTATTTATTATACACTTAACGATTATGCATATACAAAGATGATCAACGATTCAAACAAACCATCGAAGGGTCGTTGATACCACTTAAGCCTTTCAAGTTTTGTTTTTAATTAATTCTAAACAAGAAACATTAATAAAACTTCATATCAAAAATAAGAACAATCTACATTTTTCTTTTTGGTTTTTCCGTTCATTCTCCCTTACTTCACCTCTATCTCTCATCTTTCTCAAAATAAAAGTTGAATAAAATCATTCCATCTTTTAACAAGAAAATGAAAACTGAAAACAAAGAAACAAAAGTATTACCACTTGAGCCCAATGACTACATAAAAGAAATATATATTAGGTTTGGGTCAACTAAAGATGTAGAAATTAGAGTTTTAGGAAGGATAAAAGGGTCAGGGCTGGGTTGCAAATATTATGGCAATTAAAAGCACAAAGCTACAGGAAATATTAGGCAGTAACCACGTGGAACATAAGGAATCTTAAACAGGGGCAAAGAACATAATTAACAAGTGAAAGCAGTCTTTCCCGTGCCAGAAACAAATTAAGCCAATAAAATTTTCCTTTGGTTACCCCTACTAGCAAGGCATGTGCCGGTAGCATACAACAATCTTCAATTAAGTTTCAAGATGCATAACAAAACAAATAAATTGATGCACGTAGCCTCATCGACCCAGTGAAATACAGGTTTAATCCAAATGCTCGGACTCCAAGAACTCTTTAATACGCGAAACAAAAGATTAGGTTTGGCCTACCTGCAATCGTGGTTAAAGGTCATCATTGGAAATGGCACTTTATTTCAATTTCCATTTGATTTTAGAAAAAGTACATAAATAAGCATGCCGCTCACAGAAGATCTATACCTGAAATTTGTGATTCTCAAACCTTCAGAGCAGCCTTGTGAACCATGGTTTCTTTGTGTATTTGGTGGCAGCTCTTCTCAACAAGATCAAGCAATTTCTCCAAGTTCGTAGCCCACGAATTAAGAACATTGTTGCTATCCTTTGCAGTTTGAAAACAGACTATTCCTATAGGCCGGTCAATCTTGGCCACCAGTGCCTTGGACACAACCATATCTGACAGATGCTTCTCAGCTTCCTGAAAAGAATGCGACCAAAACTATAAACAGACTGGAAAAGAATTGCATATTTCAAGTAAGTCCAGCCATGGCATCCCAAAACTGTCAGATTAGACTGATTACATTTATACAGTCTGAAGTATTATACTTGTTTATGTCTAAATACACAAAACAAAAAATAAACCATGTATCAACCCATAGATTCTCACAATTAATCAGCATTACCTAATATGTTGAATATAATAAAGAACTGAAGTGAGAATAATTAAGGATCTAACTCAACAAAAGTATAGACAGCAAATGGAGTGAGGAAGAAAGACAACTTTACAAGAGCAGTGAGTGTCATCCCTTTTTTATGGCTCTATTATTCAAATTCAAAATTAAAATGATGTGACAAATTCTAAAACCAAGGAGTTAAGCTTCACTACAAGTCATCGTAAGAAACGTGTATCACAGGAACTGGTAAATAAAATCTGGCTTCTGGTGGGTTACCCAGGAAATTGGAAAGTGAAGCAACTAAATATATTTATGCCTCTTGCAAGTCATCCAAAAATAATCCATTATAGATCAACTCTCAAAAATAAACACAAATTAGTAAAAACAAACCTGGACACTCAGACACAAAAGCTCTGCAAGTCTCTTCAAGGTTATCCTTGAGTAGTACTTTGAAACAACAAGAATGTTCTGCAAAAGCAGTATCACATGTCAGCAAAATATAATTACTAACTGAACAGTGAAAACGTGCAGATAATGATATCTGGAGAAATTTTACGTGTTCAATTATTCTCTGCCTTAGATCTTCCGCTGCTTTGTCACCCAAAGAGCCCCCAAGCAGGCTCTTCTCACTCTCAAACTCAGCCTTGTATGTGTTCCAAAGGGATGTCCATTGTATGACCTCCATAGTTACCACCTGTTTCAACAGCAACCTACAACAGAACAAAACCGGCCTCATAAGAGTCATACTAAGAGCTTGTATGATATATTTGATCCAATAAAGGAAGAAGTGCAACAGACGCTATTTTTTAACATACTTAAAATATGGAATCTCAGTAAGATTCTTATCCTCCAGGGTGGAATTGAGAAGACTTGACTGCATTGGATCGTATGGCGCCAGAACCAAGTACCAACATATCTTCCTCAAGACCTATGAGAAAGAAAAAAAATTCAGAAAAGCTCAACCAAATTCAGGAGACAATAAAAGTAAGAGCTTTACCGGTATCCACTGGGCTGGATTCTCCCTGACAGAAGGAATATCGTATATCGCCTTATAGCAACGGCAAATCTCAAGGTAATCATTGTTATGAAAGTAATACCTGCAAAGGAAATAAGACAACATCAACAATCCATCAAATTTCACCAACAGAGCAGTTGTGAAAAGAACATCCAAAATTCAGATGGTTTGCAGAGACCAGTTACAATTAAACAAATGAACAATCGCATAGAATCAATTTTGAACGCCTGCAAAATATTGAAATCAATATTTATTGGTTTCCATCGATCATGCTTGGTTATACAACTAACTTGTGATTGTGATTAATAGGATGACCTAAGCAATGTAATACAATGGATGATAGGCATTTCAAGAAAAGAAGGTGCAATTCTGTTAACTAATCTAAAAGAGCCTGCGGGAATTTAATTATTTCAACTGCCCACCTATTTGTAACGTAGAAGATATTGCATTTCTTTGGGAATGTGTGACCTCTGGTTGTTGGTTTTGGATAACCATGAGAAAGGAAACTCCATACTATATTTTCACTTACCAAAAACAGGAAGGGATCCATTCCCAAATGGCAAAACAGTGAAACAAAAACTTAGAGCTAGATTTTGCATTTCTTCACAACACCCTAATAACAGCATTTC